TTTACTTAATATAATTTTTTATAAAATTAAATATAAAAAAAATTTACCATTAGGTTTATATATAATTTTAAAATACTTGCCCCTACCCTTAAATAAAATGGAATAATTAACATTATCGTTATCTGAGATAAAAAATTTGCGATTTGATAGTGAAAGTATTCACCCAATTGGTCGCCCAAATTTCGATTTACTGGTTTAAAGACGTCCCGCACTATAATATAAAAATCATAATAGAACAGGGTGAACCCTGAGTTACGAAATAGTGAAATTCGCTTTGTAGATCGGGTTAGGTCGAATCCGCGTTTTATTATGTTTTTTTATTATGTAAAAACGGATTTCATCTTCATGTGATGAGCATAGAGGATTTCACTATTTTGCGGCAGTTACACGAACTAAAATTAACACCCCGAAATTAGATCTTCCTTGTCCACGTTAGTAATTTTTAGGCTCAACTCAACTTCAAACTTCAAGCACGATAATTAACAAGCTAATTAATAGTAATTTAATAGAATAAAAATCTTTTAATATATTTTAATATATTTTAATTGTATTTTAATTATATTTTTATTATATAATAGTTATATAGTAAATATATTTAGCTAAAATCAAAGGTTTTCTGCAAAGTATAAACTCTTATGAAAAATAAAAACAGTATATTTGTTTCTAATAATTTCCTAAAATTTCTAAAAAATTTATAACATTATCTTGGAAAAAATATTAATCTACTAATTATAAAGTGAAATAGAAATAATTTAATATCAAAAAGTTGTTATTATTCCTAAAAATTTCGAGAAAAAAAAAAAAATCATGAAACACTGAAAATGCTAATAAAAATATTACAGCAAAATGTGAAAGCAATTTATACCAGATAACGTATAGCTCGTTGCTGTAATATCCATAAATCTAGGTTGAAATTACTTGGTGCTCTTGTAGGAACGCTACCAGGAAAAGCACTAAAGAGTAAATTTGCAGGGACTGTTATTTGATAATTTGCCATACCAACATCTGTGCAAGCAGTATCACCTGATTTTTATTATCAAATTCTATTAAGCTAAATCAAAAAATTTCCTTTAGGTTATACATTGTGAGAAAAAATTTGGTTCGATCTATGATGTTACATTGTGCTAAAAAATCACATGCTAATATTGTGCACCAAAAAATTTGGGATGTCCTATCGATAAAAGCGGGACAGATTAGTGGAGCAACCAAAATTCCGCAGATCGACCATATCTAATCATTTTCATGTGGGAAGTATTGTATCAGATAAAGATATGTTGTGAAAATTAACAATCATCAGTCAATACAGAAGCACTGCAGTATTACGTTAATTTTTTGAAATAATGTTGGGATAATCACCAGCCTAAAAAATTTCGCCGGCCAATCAAATTTCGAGATCAGGTGTAAAATGACAAAAGGTCAAGAAACTAAAATCGTCCGTAACTCGAAATTTTGTCTATGCAACTGTCTTCTGCGTATCAACAAAAAGGTTTCCTTGCAAAATTTTGGTATAATTATAGTCCTTTAAATCTAACCTACTTGTAATATCCTAACCCTACCTAATAACGAAATGTTTTTTGCTTAGCGAAATTTTTTAGACTGACTAGAGTTGCTGGTGAAACTAAATAATGATCATTTAACAAGATTTGATTGGCTGTTATATTAAATTTCATAATTCACCACCATTCAACAAAAGTTTTACCAGTTTCACTAGCAACTCTAATTGAGACGACCGAATGCACAGAAACTTTGTAATATTTTTAAAGAATGACAAGGTTATGAGAAACTTTTGTCAAAATTAAATGATTCTATTATAATGCACGAAAATTTAAAATATGATATGAATTCGATTTTGAATATGAATAGTGATTCATTTTTTGAAATTGTTTTTATTATTATTACCTTCTTTGTGTTGAAAGTTAGTTTTTTATTATTATTACTTTCTTTGTGAAATAAAAGTTATATGTATTTGTAATAAAATAAAATAAAATATATATAGTGAATTCATCATTTTACAAATATAGTGCACAAAGTATATATTTTGATTATTATTTCATTTGTCGAAGCTATAACGATAAATGACTATTTTACAAAATGATTCCAAGAAAAAAAAAAAAAAAGGAAAAAAAGTACGTACATACGTACGTACAAATTTTCAAATTTGATGCAACCAGTCAGCCAAATTGAATAAAGATAAATAAATATATTTATACAAAAGACAAGTATGGAAAATCAAAAATTATAAATTTACATAATATGAACCACATTTGTTGAAAAGTTTGATCTTATGTGTAGTGGTATTTATAAAATAAAGCCATTAAAATATTAGTCGACAAAAATAAGGATAAATGCATATGGAAAATATAAAGCAGTAACACTAAAAATGTAAAACAATATATCAATAACACTCAGCGGATTATAGTTATACAATAAATTGATTCCAAAATGGTGTGTTATCACGATACTGTTATTATATATTCTAATATAGGAGCACCGACTTCCTTAATTTCTGGGATGGTACATTTGAGGTCAAAAGCCTTTGAAAGAACTATTTTGAAAATCTTTTGCACATTAATGGAATGGGATGTTGAACAAAATATCAAAGAAGCTTTCATGGCACGAGCAAAACGACGAGCCTGAAATTGAAATATATAAAAAGAAATAAATACAAAGAAATTATAGATACGTATAAAGTTAATCTACTAATTTAGATGAATCACCTGTTTGGTAATCTCTTCCTGTTCTTCTTTGGGAAAATTTGCAAATTGATCATATTTTGTTCCGATGAGGAAAGGAATGGCAGTCTGTTTGTATGAAAGATGACGATATAAATTTAATAGTAAGAAAATATTAATTAATAACAAGAAAATATAAATTAATAACAAGAAAATATAAATTAATTTCAAGAAAATGTAAATAAATAGTAAATAAATATATACGCATATAAATGCATATAAACGTATATAAATATATATGAATGATTAAAAAGTGACATACTTTATTAAATCCTCTAGCTTGTCTATACCATTCTTTAATACTATTCAATGTGGACTTTCGTGATAAATCAAACATAAAGAGTATCGCAACGGCATCATTACATACTAAAGGCAACATATTTACGAATTCACGTTGACCTAATTTATTTTGGATGGGATTATGAGTAAATGAAAAACAGCGAACAACGATTCACATTTATAACGATCGCATACCTCCAAGATCCCATATACTAAATGTGATTTCATGGTTTCTTATTGAAATTGTTTTTTCCATAAAGTTAACACCTTCAGAAATCAATCGAGGAATAATTCAATAAATTTGAAAAAAATAAATTTGAAAAAAAACTAAATTTGAAAAAGTTCCGTAAATTTTGATTCAATTACCTAAAGTTTGAATATAATCTTCGTCAAAGGAGCCTTCCACATATTTGACCATTAAACTTGTTTTACCAATTTGAGAATCACCGACCATGCCAACCTTCACTACGACACTGTTTAAAAGAGTATGTTCATAAACCATTCTAGTAAAAGTTTATTACACGAATGGAATCGCCACAAACCTGTTTTTCTTTGCAGCTTCCTCGTTGGACATGGTGACAATAATATATTAACTACATTTGTGAAAAGGTAAGACAACATTATTAAAGAGCAAGTACTTAGGCAAGACAAGTAAATTATAGATTTTAAAACGTTACTAGTTTTTAATAACACGTGAAGGTGCAGGAACACGAATAAGCTTAAAATTTATTTCTTAAATACTGCGCAGGATATAAACTAATACAAGTTCTAGACGGATACTACTGCTTCGATAAGAAAAAATCTTTAATTAAGGATGTCGGGGTTTTGAGGAAAAAAAAAAACTTGGAACTTGGATTATATGTAAATACGTAAAAAAATGCAAGTATAATTAGAACAAAGAAGTTGTACTATTAATCAATTTAAGGAGAATTTAAGTTTGTGCACATCCTACGTTTTATTGACTAGTGAATGGTGTAAATGATGCAGCCCAATTTTAAACAATATCTATATACTAGTTTCATCCAGATTTTGGCAAATGAGTAAAAGGGGGTTAAAAAGATTATGTAACATTTTAAGAACACTACTTTCGTCATTCTACAATCAGGGAGGTTATTAATGCAGGGAACGTATGATACGTATGAACATCCCAAAGAATATACAGTATATATTTCTTTAATAACCGTAACAATAACACAATAACGATAACTGATAATAAGTATATAAATCAGGTATTCCGTATTATAATAACTCTTGTCACGAACCATAGGCTAGGTCATAAACAGAATTTATGAATTCATGTGATTAACTTTAATGTCATGCTTTTTTTAATGTGCCGTTTAGAAATTACCAATTTTAAACATTCAGTGTTAGTGTACATACATATATATGTATGTATGTATGTACAAACTTTTTTTTATATCTTTAATTAAGATTAACTGAAAATTATGCACATTTTTTCAATTATGATTGATTTCTCCAAAACTTCAAGATAAGTTGTTTTTCTCTTCCTGCCAGTCGTGATGCTAAAATCTAAAAACGTAAAAATATACATTTCTTTTTAACATTCATTAATTGTAACTAATTGTAACTAATTGGTGATGATTATTTTTTGTCTTGGAGATCCGACACCAACCTTGGATTGAAACTTATAATCATTCCACATTCTGTCACATATTTCATCTGGTTTATTATCACTAATTACTAAGAGATAAAACACACCATTGCTTGATAATAAATCCTACAATATTCTAATTTTTGATCAATTAATTTATATGCAATACTAAATGATATTTAACGAAAAACTCACGTTAACCAATGGTAACATTTTATCGATTACTTCTCTTCCATCAATTCCTCCAGCCCATGCTCTTTCAATAAGATTTGTTGAATTTACATCTTCAGAAGATGTGACAACATACGGTGGATTAAAGCATAAAATATCAACATTATGATATAATCTTGGTAGAAGACCCGAGGTTAGGTTGGTTGTTATGGCATCTAAATGAATCTATAATACATTTTCATAAATCAACGTAAATCAATGTAAATCAACGTAAATGAATATTAATTGGTTCAGAAAATAAGTAAATTATATAAAATATGTATAATTAATTTCCAAAGATACCGAATTGTGAATAGCTGTTTTAACAGTGATTGCCGTAGCATAAGGATTTATATCTGTACATAATAAAACTTTTGGAAATAAAATCCATCAAAAATTTCGAAATATAAAAAATTCTTAAATTAATTTGAGTGCTTATTCAAAACGTACGTGTAGTTCCATTACCAAGCAATTGACCAAGGAACGTCGACACACACCCTGTACCTGAACTATTTCGATAAACGTGTGAATGATTTTATATATTATAATCATTCATGATGGCTATTAAATAATATGTGTACCTACCCAATTTCTAAACATATACAAGGATTTATATTGTTCTTGAGAAATTCGATATCTTTCTCAAGGGCATCAAGAAATAAAAAAGTGTCCTCTAATCAAATAATGTGAATGTGAATATTTTGTTAATATGTATATTTCTTATGTAAATAAAATATTTGGATAATTTTACTAAGAAATCAATTGGATAACTGACCTGCTGGTTCATACACATTCTCATAATCATTCGAAGTTATGTGATCAAGATTTGGTGTTGGAAACATCCTAAATTTGCCTAACTGCTAGGAGTTACATTATTATCATCATCTGTCATTATCACATGAACGTGGAATGCAGTAGCGGTAGACAATGTTGTACAATGTACTTAGTGATACGAATCAAAAATCGATTTAAAACTTTCGAAGCCACGCCAATTGTTGATTATCTACTTTATACACAGATGTTTTTCTTGATGCATATTTCATTCATCTCAGCATTTAGCGTTAGCGTGTTAATTAAATTATTAATTATTAATTATTAATCATCAATTGACACATATTATTGTTCAATCTTCACTGATTGAAATACAATTTATTTATTATAAAAAAACGCGCATTTATTTTCATATTAAATTTCATTTAATAAAGTATATCATTTTAACTTTGTACATATTCCCTTACATAAAATCTTTTTTTTCTTTCATTACTACCGTAAAATATATACGTATTATATTTAATTTGACCTAAACACATGTATATATATATAATTTTATTTTAAAAATCAAATTGACCAAAAAATTATTTGTAACTGCCTTATTGAATGTTTTAAAAATATCTATTTTATATTAATGACGAAATTTTTCTTTGTGTTTATAATTATATACATATATATTTTTTATATAGTAGTCAATTTTGCATTAGTCGATTTTATCAGGTCCACTAATTTCCCACAAGTTACTATTGGTCGCATTTCATAATTGGATAAAATCGACGATCTTTAATGTCATGATGCATCTACAGCGAATCAAAAAACAATCGCTTATTTTTGAAAAGACTTATTTATCTCAATTTCGTCTAAGAAATCGGTTTTTTGCATACTAACAAAAAAATTTTCTTGCAGGATTTTGCTATAATATTATCTATTAATTCTGACATTAATCTTAACTTTTTACGGATGTAATTTGATGCGAATAATTCCAGCCAATAGGAATTTTGAGAAAATTAGTAAACCCGATTTTATCGATTTTATACGTATAGACTTTATTAAACAATTATAACAACCAATCAAATTTAGCCCGATTTTGTAGGTTACATTATCTCCCGAAAAATTCCGAAAAGAAATTCAACGAACATAAAATACGAGCGAGGTCGCGGAAAAATGATAATTTCCGAAAGATGGTTGATCGACTTCGATTTAGTCGGCTAAGCCGATTTTAAATATCGACTTAGTCAAGTCGATAAATAATGATCGACCACAAACATTATATTTGTACGTATTAGATAAAATTATATACATATATATACTATATATATACTATAGATATTTGTATTAGCGTTAGATAAAATTAAATAAATATTTACAATAAACTGCAAAATTTAATAATAACGATAAAAACTTTTTAATCTAACAACAAAACGATAGAATAGTAAAAAAATCAATTAGAACAATAAAATTATTCTTGATTATAACGTCTTTATAAATTTTATGATTAGTTAAAAAGTCTTATACAAAATACTTCTTGAAACTGCAATTTTATAAATTAAAAAGGATATTAAGGTATTATAACGAAGTAGGCATTGTGATGAATCGTGATATTTTGTGATCCAACAATTGGAATTAAATAATTTTGGTACCATTCAATTCTCGTTGGATCATGAGGTATAATTATTCGTCACAATATCTGTTATCATCTCCCTTATCGTCATTATTTAAAAATTGATCCGAATCTAATTTGGTGTCATTAGGTTCGTCTTAATGAAATGAATCGAATAGTATCAGGCTTTAATCACTAGATCATGAAATCATGTTGATTCGTCATAATACCTACCTTATGTCATGAAATCATGTTGCTTCGTCATAATACCTACCTTATGTCATAAAATATAATTTTTTTAAAAAAAAATTTCGAATAAAAGGTATCTCATGATCTAATAACTGAATTTGGTATCATTCGATTCGTCTTATTTAAACGAATGCATTTAAATCAAACACAAAAAAGTTTTGTCTAAAATCGGATATACAAAATCTATAAAAAAAATAAAAAATAAACATTCTACGTATTAAAATCAAAAAATATTTATGGAAAATGTATTTTATAAAATTCAAACGAAATACCTTTTAAACTATATAATACAGTTGTTTAATATAACAAAACCCCTTTTCTATTTTTAAAATTTATTTACAGTAATACCGGAATAAAGTACCTACGTGATGCAATTTTTTTTACATATAAAAAAATTAAATATCACAAATCTACAATATTTGGCATAAAGGGTCCTTTATTCCGCAAAATACGGTAATTGATTTTTATAAAAATAAGTGTTTTAAAGAATAAATAAATAAAACTCAATAAATATACTCATTTTATTTACGTATCCAGTCAAACCTTTCCAAATGCATGTTTCCTAGATGCACATTCTATGAGCAACCTTTGTACAGTAAATGCATGCCCTCTTTTTATTAATATAACACTTTAATATAACACTTTAATATAACACTTTAATATAACACTTTAATATAACACTTTAATATAACACTTATATTAGTTTTTTATCTTCATAAAAATGCAATATCTCTTTGAATGCATTTAGTGAAGTTCGAATGTACTTGCTAGTCTAAGAGTATTGCAATTTAAAAATTATACATATTTTTATACTCTATACATATGAGTGTTTAAAAGGAGTCTAAATATATATTATATCATCAAATAAATAAAAATCATTCTATATTTAGACTTTCTAGTTTTCACTTGGTGATTTATTTATATTATTAATCAATAAAATCTTTATTAAATCTTTATTAATGATCATCATTACGTTATTACTTGCAATTAGATCAAATATTGTAGTTTATGTTCTTATCGTTCAATGCTTGATAACCTGAATGGAATCGCCACATAAAATAATATTATTGCATTCAATAACGTTTTATTATGTATAGGAATCAAGCTTTATATTTAATGTTAAAAAATGTTATAATTTTGACTATAATTTTACACGCGACCTAAGATTTTAGTAATATATACAAAATTAAAGGAGACAACCAATATCTTCTTTTTTTGAGTCTTCATTGCTGGTAATAATGCGTGTTTGGCTCGTTAGTTTTACAGTGGAATGTTGTGATCAAAATGGTAAGTCTTTATTTATTCGCTAAATTATAATTGTTTTCTTATAGGATGCGATCTAAACATTATATATGTAAATAGTCAATTAAGCCGAATTTTTTAAAGAATCGGCCTAAGTCGACCAATGCAATGTCGAATTGAAACACTACATTATATAAATGTTGCAACAAAAATATTAACGAGAGGTTCTTGAAATATATATTCCAGGGTCAGGTTCAAAAGTGAATGGAGTAATACCCGCCATCACTATAACGACTATAGCGTGAATACGTCTACGAGGTATCGTACCATCGCATTCTGGATCAACTTCACTTTTAAAGACATTAAATAATGCCGATGTTTATCTTTTTTTGTTTTTCGAGAACATTATACAACGACATTCTATCTTTTTTTTAGACAACATAAAATACGAACATAATCAACAGGAATTTTCGGATTATAGTTTATTATTGGCAGATCTAAATTTTTTTGAGATTATAGCCTACCAAGTCTGCTTAAACGTTATCAAAATTATTGACTCGACTGAACTTTTTAATCAACTGCAATCATTAATATTATGAACTATTAACCAATTTCAAAAACAAAAATTGTTGATAGTAAGAATTAGACAGAACAATAAAAAATTAACAAAAATTTTAATTCATAATACCTCATAGCCTTAGCCTCATCGTATTCAAGTCTACGCTTTCTATTGGCTAATAACACTTGCTTACGTTTTTCAATTAATTCAACTTGTCTTTGTTCAGCATTATATATATATGCACCGACTCCTCCGAAGAATGCTGCTGTAAATACATGTGTTATTGGGTCTACATAGAAAATAATGAAATTGTAGATATATCTGAGGATGAATATATGAGATATTTACTAGGAAAATTTTACTTAATCATATTATTCTTATTTTTTTAGTTAAATTTGATCACATACTGTCAAAAACGGGCCTCCTTTCAAGGGCCAACGCATAAGCTCTAACGGCGACACCAAAAGCGGCAAAGCCAGTAATAGTTGTCACAAATGTCATGATAAATATTAAAAAGGTTTTCTAATGATAAAGATTAATTGATGTACGATGAAGAATGAATGAATGAATGGAAATAAAAGCTTTTAAGTTTCTAATTCACGTTAAATCTTATTTAATAAAAATTTTTCTTAATTCTAAAGATACATATAAATAAGATTATAAATGATTCCAAAGACACTGTTTAGCACTACTCATAGTATCTTCAATTATTACGATTTGCTCAATTCTTGAATAATACCGGTGATATAGTTATATTAATTTATTACTTTTCATATAAATTGTATCCCGGTTCTATACAAAGACCTCGGATACTAATTAAATTAAAAATGAAAGATTGAACAGACTCAAGTATTATTCATTACACCGTTCCACTATCAGTGTAGAATTATGATATAAACTATGATACAATGTAGTTTGGTAACTCGATCATAGGCCAATCATGATAATCGCAGGAAAAATTGCCTGCAAAACGGTGTAATGGATAAGCGGTGCTAAACGATATCTAATATCAATTTATCAATTATGAATTAATATATATAACCTACCTATTCAAAGAACCAAGTGAGAAGTAAATTGAAGAAAAATCTGCATACGTATTTTATTTTTATGTATGATCGTCATCCGGATCGCCCCGAATTACACGTGCCACTGATGAACTTTTAGATAACCGATAATATAATGATACGTAGAGAAATTCTCATACTTAATTTTTGTACGCGACGCGATTTTTTTACAACTTTATTATAAATGGATAAAATAGCAACATTGGATACTTTTACTGCTGAGGATATCAAATTCTTAGCAGAATATGAATTAATAATGATTGAACCATTTTTTAAAGCGAATACATTTTCCCTTTCAGGGGTAAATATAAATTTTTTTTTTATATACATTTATTAATTTTATCGATTTAAATTTTTTAATAATCATTTATTTCGATTTGATAAGATTGAATATGGTCCATTTAATCCTCCAATAAAGACCAATGTACCTATTTGGGTAGCTTTAACATTAAAATCTCAAAAATTATGTAAAATCATTTCTCCTTCATGGCTCACCGTTGGTAAGATTATATAACGATGTTTATCGAATTTTTAAATTTTCTTACCATTCTTTATCATAAATTAACAATTGATAATTTACATTTAAAAATGTAGAAACCCTTACCATTCTGTTAGATGCAGAAACAAAAGAAACAAAATTTAGCGCGGTTCCATTTTATTATGCTGAAATCTCAAGGATGTTATTACAATCGTATGTAATAATTTATATCACTATATCAATTTTTTTATACACTGTATGATTAATTATTTAATTATCTTACTCATTCAAAATTTAAGTGCTGAAGATGATCTAAGATCCCCCGGTGAACTTCGAATGTTGTTACAACAACTTAAAGAGAAAAGAGAAAATAAAATTAGAATAGGTTTGGCTAATCTAGAACCTATTCCACATAAAGTAATTTACATATTATTATACTCATTAATGATTCGTTTTCTTATATATAAACTTAAAACTGATTTTAAAAAATTTTTTTAAAGATAAATAATATTAGCGCTCGTGAAATCCACATCATGCGTCCCACATTTTCCATGTTATTTGATTCCTTACATAAGATGCAAGAAACTACTATTAAACAACAAAATGTTAGTGAAACTACTAGAAGAACTGCTGATAGAATTAGTAGTCAAAACTTGGATTTGATGGATATTGAGGGTGAAATTGCTGATTATGGTGATTTGGGTGATTTTATGATTTATGATTAGATTTAAATTTACGTTAGGTCAAGTTGGTTAGTGATACATGTGTTTTTAATGACAATGTTATAATGTAAATTCAACTAAAAAATTTTTTTAGTTTGTCAAATTTTTGTTAATATAATAATAAATGATTTTACTATAGTAACTAATATTCTAATGTTATAAATTAAATTTTAAAACTGTAACTCTTTTATAACATCCTAAAATCTATACTATTAATATAATTTACTTCAACTACGTTGCACCAATCAAATTTAGAATAAGCTCAAGCTGTTATTAAATTTAACAATATCAATTTAAAATCAATCTGAGTTCTTTTAGGTTTCGTATCAACTTGGGTTGCCCAAGTAGATTCTAAATCTACAATGATTCCGTTTCAACGTACAACATATGCAATTGACAGTGCCAACTGAGATATTTTTTGTGAATACAATATTTGTTAATAAAATTAATATCAAAGTTATTTTTAGCTTCAAATATTAATATTAACTAAACAAAAATCTAAAAATCTATAAACAATACATATTTCATATAAAAAAATGTGATTATGCGGCTAATCTTAGTCATTAAAATCACATGTCCGAGCTTTTTTTGATGGTGATGCTGTGGCACGGTTATAATCATCATCAGGAATTAAAACTTCCCATTCTCGTGAACCTAAAATTAAAATAATTAAAACCTTTTATCGATTAATTTAAGATTTAATATAATGTAAATATTCACCGTAAACTTTTAGCAATTCCGAAGAATTAATTGGCTTAGAAAGGTTTTTAAAGTTAAGCAGTTTACTTGTAAGCTTATCTTTAGAAAAAATTGGCAATTCGGTTGATAATGTTGGAATAATTGCATCTGCAGACTGGAATGCTTTTAATATTGCTAATTCATCTTTATTTTCTGCACTACCATTCTTTAAGACCTTATACCAAATTGATAATTCTTTAAAGATATCAGATGCAGTTGGTCTATCAGATGGATCAGCATTCATACATTTATTTGCTAATCGGATATAGCACTCAGGAGTGTTTTTAGTAAAATCAGGGCGTAATCCATTGCATATCATTATAGCTAACGTTTCATCATACTCAATATCAACATGAGGAGGTCTTCCTGTAGACATCTCAGTCATGATAATACCAAAACTATAAATGTCAGCTGCTATTGAATATGGTTGTTTAGTTAATACTTCCGGTGCAACATAAGGTAAAACGCCGTAAATGCAATTTTCTAAATCAGATTCATCCTTCTTTCTAGATAATCCTAGATCTGCAATATAAGATATCAGATCACCACTAATATATTGATTTTGCAATATGTTACCACTATGAAAATCTCCATGAACGTATTCTGATTTATGAACTTTTGCTAAATTTCTAGATATATCGACAAGCTGCTTTAATTTACTTTTCCAATTAAGATCTCTAAAATTTAAAGATAAGAAATTATGAAGACTTCCTCTATTTGCATATTGAAATACCATCAAGTAATCATTATTAGTCGTGTCTTGAGTTAGTCCATACACTTCAAGATTATTACCTACTAATCTAAATTCTATGTAATTTTTAAACTTATTAAATAAAACAAAATTTATAATGTTAATAGTTGATCTATATTAGATTATAAATAAATAAGTTTAACATACCTCTCTTAAAAAATTACTTTGTGAACCAGGTAAAGTTTTAAGTGCAACTACACATGATGGTGTACGTGATTGTGTGTAATCATATTGATCTGAAACTATTCTTTTACCATCTAACCATGTTGCAGAAAATACAGAGCCAAATCCCCCTTTACCAATCATTTGAACATTAACTAATCTATTAAAAGGAATCCATTCGATTACGTTATTATAAGATGTAGCTTTACGTTGAAATTCTTTAATGCAATCGTCGATATCCTTATTTTCACTTGTCCATCCTTGTGCTGTTTTCTGTGGGTCACATGTTTGACACCAAGCGTTATCTGTGTTAAATCGCTTGCAATTTGCACATTTTCCATTTATTATATTTCTTTTATTATAAAACTCATCAAATACTAACATATATTCGTTTGTGGATGTGTTTTGAGTTAGTCCACATACTTTAAGAACGCTATTTTTTAATTGTACATAATCTGCAAACTTATTAACAGTTAAACATGTAAATATTCAGTATAATCGTGTAATAATGATTAAATATTTTAACTTACTTCATTTAACATATCTATTAAACTTTGTGTTCTAGTCAACATTTTAAGCTCCACTTTATATGTTGGTATACGTGACTGTGCACATTTATTACTAAATTTATCTTTTACATATCGTATACCATCTAACCAGGTTGCTAAAACTCTATCACCAATAATTTGAATATCATCTAATCTATTAAAAGAAATCCATTCGATTACGTTATCATAAGATGTAGCTTTAAGTTGAAATTTTTTAATGCAATCATCAACATCATTATTTCCGCTTGTCCATCCCCGTGTTGACTTCTGAGGATCGCATGTTTGACACCACACGAAAGATGAGTTATATCGCTTGCAATTTGCGCATTTTCCATAACGTTTATACCTCATGGAACTAAATTCATCAAATTCACTAAATACTAGCATATAATCATTTGTGATAGTATTTTGAGTTAATCCACAAAGATTTTTATTCACAGATTGCGCATGTTTTTTAAGCTTGGAAAATATATAAAAGGCATAAGAAATATAATTAAAATATAATTAAATAAGCTACACATAATAAATAATATGAATGGTTCGGGCCTTCAAGTTTATCGTTATCGTTATTGATTATTATTTATTTACCAGACTTAGCAATATATTTAAAAGCCCGATATTGGCAGCACTAATTTAATAACGCTGAATAGAAGGGCTAAGTATAGTAAATAATAAATACTAAATTTGAAAGTCCGAAATTTCAATTTTCCTTAGTAGCACACGTTTATACTCACTCTTACCTCTTTTAAAACATTTATTAAATTTTGTAATTCCGTCAATATTTTAAGCTCCACTTTATCGTCATTTTTTACATATCGTATTCCATCTAACCAGGTTGCTAAAAATCCGTCTCCATTCTTTTGAATATTAACTAATTTATTAAATGGAATCCATTCGATTACATCTTCATAAGTAGTAGTTATAAGTTGAAATTCCTTAATGCAATCATCAATCTCTTTATTTCCACTTGTCCATCCTTCTGTTGTCTTCTGAAGGTCGCATGTTTGGCACCAACCACGAGATGTGTTATACCGCTTGCAATTTGCACATTTTCCATGCTCATAAATTCTTTTAGAATAAAATTCATCAAATACCAACATATACTCATTTGTTGCGATGTTTTGAGTTAATCCATAGATACTTTTACGTCGTAATTGACTCTTTAATTGCTATATTTAATATATTAAATATATTATAGATTATATATTATAGATCATAGAAGTATATGCTCGTACAGATTAAACATACATATTAAATAAACTACATATCTGATATAATAAAATAATTTTAACTTACTTTTAAATCATTCTGTGAGTGTGTCAATGTTTTAAGTGTAATTGTGCATGCCACTGTACGTGACTGTGCACATTGACTACTATATTTATCTTTTACATAACGTATACCATCTAACCAGGTTGCTAAAACTCTATCATTAATAATTTTAATATCATCTAACCTATTAAAAGGAATCCATTCGATTACATTATCATATTCTTTAGCTTTAAGTTGAATTTTTTTAATGCAATCATCGACATCATTATCTCCACTTGTCCATCCTTGTGCTGTTTTCTGTGGGTCACATGTTTGACACCATGCTGGTGTTGTGTTATTTCGCTTGCAATTTGCACATTTTCCATTACTTTCATTTCTCATGGAACTAAATTCATCAAATACTAAAATATACTCATTTGTTGATATGTTTTGAGTTATACCATATACTTTAAATTTACGATTCTTTAATTGTACATAATCTACAAACTTATTAACAGTTAAACATGTAAATATTCAGTATAATCGTGTAACAATGATTAAATATTTTAACTTACTTCATTTAACGTATCTATTA